AGGCCAAGAAGAACAGATGGGTGAGTGACGTCTTAGTTTTAGTAAGTTTTTACAGCGCTCGCAGCTGCAACATATGAGTGCCAAGGGGTGAATGTCAACTGAGAAGTCCAAACGGGGAATCAGGCTTACTCTGGTCACCTCTCTAGCATTGTGTGTGTGTGTGTGCGTGTGTGTGTGTGCGTGTGTGTGTGTGTGCGTGTGTGTGTGTGAGGGTGCATGTGTACGTGTGTGTGTGAGTGTGTGGTTATTGATCATTTATGGTTGTTGGTTTTTTTTAATTTGATTGAAATTTGTAGTTTGATTTTTATTTTTTTAATTGTATCTTGATCCTGTCTTATCCATTGGTCCCTACAGTTGAGGAGTTCCTTCAGCAAGGCATTCTCCCGTAAAAAAGGCAAGACGGGCTCCCTGTCTGACGTGGAGCCAGACTCCCACAGTCTCAGGTCCAACGCCTCGGCTCCGAACTCCCCCCTCATGCAGCTGGGACACATGGGCGCGCCCTCTATGAAGGGGTCCCACTCCTCTGGGGCGTGAGTATATCATTAATTTGTTCATTGATTATTAATTTGTTAATCTTAATTATTAATTTGTTCTATTGATTATTAATTTGTATTGATATTATAGGTATAATATTAGTGTCTTACAGACATGTGTAGAGATAAATACACACTCAGACTGACTCACACATGCACATGTTCTCGCACACAAACACACACAAATACACACACGCAAATACACACACAGAAATACACACTCACACACACATACTTACACATTCACACACAGGCATGCATTTTTACTGTAATAATGCTTTTCTCGGTATATTCATTTCGTTAGTCTATTGATAGATAGACAGATAAATGGATAGATACAGTGAGTATTTGTATGTGAGATAGAGAGAGAAAGAGCGAGTGAGAGAGAAAAAGAGAGAGAGTGAGAGAAAGAGAGTGTGCACATGTATGAATATGTGTGTGTGTGTGTGTGAAAGCATGTATATGCATGCAAGAAAATTTGCATAGCCTCTGTGATAAAGTCACTCATTTACAACCCCCCCACCC